TTATTTATTTTAAATATTTTAATCTTGCCTTTCTTCTTGAAAAGGACCCAAGGCAGCTTATAACAATGAAAGACGATATTTAAAGTTGAAAACATTGAGTATACATTGGTCGTTAACAACATTAAAAGACAATATTTAAAACTATGAAACAATGAATACTGAGGCATTTTACACCATTAACAGGCAATATTTTGCAGGCAATATTAAGTACAGTGGTGCCTCACGTAACGAGTGCACCGTTTAACGACAATCCGTTTTTTGGGATTGCTAATGCGATCGCATACCGATGCTTTCTATGGCCGAAAATCGCTTTGCGACGATCGGTAAGCGTTTCGCTTACCGATTTTCGCATAGTGATCTTTTTAAAACAGCTGATCGGCGGTTCCAAAAGGTCCGCCGGACGCCCAAAATGGCCGCGCACAGCGTTTTCGCGCCGTGCCCTCGCTTACCGAGGGCGTGAAAATGGCGGCTGGATGGGGAAACATCGCAGAATGGTGAGTTTTGGGCCCCATTGGAACCAATGGGTTTTTCCGTTCCGTATAGCGATGTTTCCCCATAGCGACGGTTAATCCGGAGTGGATTAACCTCGCTATGCGGGGCACCACTGTATACTTTTTAAAAAAGTCACTGAAAAATTGAAAACATAAGTAGTGCTAAAAATTCAGTCAAAGCAGTAAATGCATAATTAACTAAAAAATCCCACTTAGGCAGCCAGTAACTCAGGGAAAGCTTGTCTGAAGAGAAAAGTCTTTGCCTGCTTGCAGAAGGATATCAAAGATGGGGCCAACCTAGCTTCCCATGGGAGGGAGTTCCAGACTTGGAAGGAATTTAGTATTGACTGTGTCAATTTAGAAGCTCTCTCTCTTGTCTGGCCAAGTTTGATCCCCTATGGCTGAGATAATGAGATTATGTGCATATTTTCATGTTTTGACAGTCTTTTATGAAAAATTCACCAAAATTGTGTTTGTGTTAATTTTGTGTGGCAAAGAAAAATACTGTACTGTATGTAGTTTACATAGAAAAATATTTATCTGCTAGAAAACACCTAGGTGACATATGGTTGAATATGCAAGATGTCGGTTCTGCTTCTTAGCCAAGACAAACTTTTAAAAATCTCGCATTCTTTCCAATAAATTGAAGAAGAAATGTAAGAACTTTAGGAAGTTCTGAGTTGTAGTGTTTTGAATTATCATCCATTCCTACACATGTCATTGAACGTATCTGTGTATAAATATTTTGGTGAATAAGGACACGTATGTAATAACGGCTGAAATCCAGTTGTTTAGCATAATAACTAGACTAGCCCCATTGAATTAGTGAGATTTTGGTGAATCCGAATTGAAAGTTCAATTGATTGAACTCTAGTTGAAACTTAATATTTTGAACAGAATGGGATTTTTGTAAATCTACGGCTTCGAGCCTTTGAAGTCACCCAGAATCCTACAGGGAAACTTCAGAAACGGGGAAGCCTTCTGCTTCCCAGCCAGAGTGCATATGTTGGAGTAGACAATGGCAACAGAAGGATCTCTCTTTTGCCTTCTTTTTCCATTCCCAGAAATCTTGGGAGACATACATAGTTTTGACTGCTTCAAAAAAACTATTTTGTTTCCCCACAATCAGTGAACTTCCAGATCTCCTCAGCCTTCCTATTTAGCCATGCGTTTTGTATCTCTCACAGCTTCAACTTCAGCTCGTGACCAGTTTTGTTGAAAACAGCTTTATTGGCAAGTGATTTGTTGAACTGATATACTTTATGTTCCGTGTAGTTGCTACAGGAAATACTAGGTTATCAGTGGCAGGTTTTATGCGAGGAAATGAAGTAGAGTACAAACTGAGGACAAAAAGAGGCATTCTAAGAATTATTTGTTATTGTGATTAAATTTAGTAGTTGGGAGAGATGGTGAATAGAACATGCAGATCAGATAGTCCTATGCAAGGTGACACTTAAGGAATAGCAACTCTTTGGATGCCACTTTGTACCTGGGGAGGTGACTTAGTAAGCAAAAGCTATACTTAAGTACACGATAAGCAAGCAGTGATTCAATTATCCCAGCAGGATGGCTAATTAGCATAGGTTGCTTTGGCTTTTATTATGTTAGATATCAGACCGCAGGGAACTAGATAGCATCCATCATTTCCTTCCAGAGTCACTGAACAGCTGTCATGGAGTAAAAGCTCTTAGATGTTTTATATTAAATAATGCTGACCACTTTATAGGCAAGTTCACCTCTTTGGTGTGATGAAAAAAAATTACCATGTTTATGGTTCCTGCTTTTAAATGCAACCTCATTCCCTTTGAAGATGGTATGTTATCTGTGAGACGGTAGAAGCGTAAGATTTAATATAAAAGGACAGAAAATAGGCTATATATTATATAAATGAAGGCAAAAATTGACAAATCTCAATTTCTGGTGCCACGGGTACAGATATAGAGGCAGATAATTTACACACGCGCACATGTGTTATTATATTTGGTTAACCACAACTAAAATAAAGTTTTTCTCAATTATTTTCTTTCAGAAATAGGAATCAGGTGGCTTACAATCCTGACACCCAATGTGGTATAGTGGATAGAGTGATTGACTAGGACTCTGGAGACCAGGGTTTAAATCCCCTGGTAAAACCACTCCTTAAATATCTCACATGACAGTATAGCCCTATAAAGGTTGCTATAAGTCAGTCTGGACTTGATGGTACAGAACAGCAGTCTTAAAACTCTTTGTTGTTCTTGTTGCTACTGATAGAACATTTTTAAAAATGTTCCTTGGGAGAATTGCACCTCCAAGGGGACATACTATTTCCCTGTTCTCCAAGGTCTTGTTTAATTAACAAAATGAAAAGAAAATGATATGAATTAATATAAACACCGTTTTTTTCTTCAGACGGGAAGTCTTTCCTTCTAAATTGGAATTACTGATTGCTCAGGTTAAAGGGCCTGATTTCACACACACCCAAAGGGTTCTGGGCCCAGAGAAATTGGTCCCCAGAATTTTAGGCCTGTTTTATAAGAGTTATATTGATTGCTATGTAAATACACAGAAGGGTAGTTTCATTTGTATGGTAATTTTCATTTGTATAGACTTTGTGCACCCTCTCCAGTGGTCAGAAACCTTTGAAACATAGGTAAAGCATGCTGCTTATATACCACCCAATAGCGCTTCAAGCACTCTCTGAGTGGTTTACAAGTTAATTATGCAGGCTACACATTGCGCCCCCCCAGCGAGCTGGGTACTCATTTTATTGACCTTGGAAGGATAGAAGGCTGAGTCAAGCTTCAGCCGGCTACCTGGGATTGAACCCCGGGTCGTGAGCACAGTTTTGGCTGCAGTACAGCAGTTTAACCACTGCACCATGAGGCTGTACTTAGTCATCTAACTTCAGGGTAGTGGTGAAACCGGAACTGAGGGCAGCATAGAGTACTGTATTTAATCTGATTTGTCTAATTAAGATATCTCTTAATGGTATGGCCCTTAGTAGCTACAGCATCCCAGCATTATGTTGCTTGGATGAATATGAAAATATTTGCACAAAATATTAAAACATACATTTTTTTTGGTTAGTTGAATTTTTTTGGAGTTTTCAAGTGCTGCATGATTTCAAACATGCATAGAAAGTTGTAGAGCTTTGTTGCATGGGATGAAAGATGGTCTCAATTTGAGAACTAGACTGACTGAGCTAAGAAGACATGCCATTTAAAAAAAATCAAATTGATCTAAAATCATGATTTGATTTTTTAAAATTGATTTTTTTTAAAAAAAATTGAATCATCATCTGATTTTTAAAATTTAGATCAATCAAATCCACCCTGCCCTTAGAAGATCAGATTTGACTATAGCTGTGCCAAATATTTCTCCTGGTGGAATTAATTAATTTTTAATTAATTAGATCAAGACGAAAGAAATTCAAAGGAAGAGAAATTCTCCTGAGGGCGTGTAATAGAAAGAAAAGAAACAATTATACGGAACTCTTAGACACTGCAGTGTCCAAAATACCAAGCAAAAGAAATTTTAAAGGTCTTAAATGGATTTTTATAATGGCAGGAAAAATTGGATGGTTTCATGGAGACAGAAAATTAAATTTTTACAAAATTCATAAAATTTGCATTTAATTATTATTCATCCGCTAATTAAAAAATTAGGGGACGAACGATAATAAAGCAACATTTTTGCCTTCCCCCCCCTGAAGCTGCGCTTAATGTTGCTGTCCCTAATGTTTTAATACCTGGTACAGTGGTGCCGTGCTTAACGACGATAATCCGTTCCAAGAAAATCACTGTTAAGCGAAAACATCATAAAGCAAAATTAAAAAGCCCATTGAAACGCATTGAAAACCATTCAATGCATTCCAATGGGCTAAAAACTCACTGTCCAGTGAAGATCCTCCCTGCAGCGGCCATTTTTGGTGCCTGTATAGCGAGGAATCCGTCCCTAAGCATAGCGAGGAGCCATTTTAAGCACCCGGTGGCCATTTTGAAAACCCACGATCAGCTGTTTTTGATCGCCGTAAAGCGAAAATCAGTTCCTGAAGCAGGGAACTGATCATCGGCAAGCGAAATTCAGCCATTTAGACCATTGTTTTGCAATCGCAATAGTGATCGCAAAAACATCATAAAGCGAATTCGTCGTGATGCGGGACAATCATTAAGCGGGGCATGACTGTACAGGCTTTCCAGGGAAGGACTCAGTTTCCTTCCCATACTATACATTCAGAACTGATACAATTAGCAAGCACACGTGATACATCATTTGCCATGCTGTATCATTTCAGGCGATAAACAAATGTCTGACTATCATGAAGAAGGTTGTCATGTAACGTTGAAAGCAACTTGAAGTTGTGTAAGTTACCTTTTACTTTCCCTACTCAGTTATGAATGTCACAATGTAACTTCTTCAAATTGTGTCTCACCGTGTTGTCATGCTCTGCATTCTTTGATGGATATGTCCAAAGCAGATTTTAAGCATAAGTGCACTGGTAATGACCAGACTGCTCTTATTTTGCAGTGTGCCGAGAAGATTCCCACCAGTCTATAGTCTCCTGTGCTGCAGTGCTACTTACTCCCATTGAATCTGCAGCTGAAGGAAAGAAGAAGGAACAGCCAAAAATGCCTGAAGTGACCAAACAGTGAGTGAATAACATTGCAATATTTTTTTCTGTTTCTAGTGCATGTTAAATGATTAGCATCAGATATAACTTACTAACATGTATGTTGTTTGTTTAAGACAACTGTCTTAAAACATGTGGTTACAATTTACTCTAGGGGTAAGTTTCTTCTTTTTAAAGGTAATCTGGAGTACTAAGATGAGATGAACTCTGTATTTTTAGATGGAAATAGTATGTGGAGTTTTTCCAAGTTGGAATACGTTTAGCTACTTTGGGCCAAACTAGCTGTATCATTGCATACTATGGTGATCGATCACTGTGCAGGGAACAAATGTAAAGTCATGTTGCTATGATATATTATGCTCTTTTTAGGGACGTGGTGGCGCTGCGGGTTAAACCACAAAAGCCTCTGGGCTGCAAGGTCAAAAGACCAGCAGTTCGAATCCACGTGACGGAGTGAGCTCCCGTCACTTGTCCCAGCTCCTGCCAACCTAGTAGTTCGAAATCATGTAAATACCAGTAGATAAATAGGTACCACCTCGGTGGGAAGGTAACAGTGTTCCGTGTCTAGTCGCGCTGACCACATGACCATGGAAACTGTCTATGGACAAACTCTGGCTCTACGGCTTGGAAACTGGGATGAGCACCACTCCCTAGAGTCAGACACGAATGGACAATTGTCAAGGAAAACCTTTACTTTTACCTTTATGCTCTTTTTGTGAAACGTGAATAGTCTCCGTGCGCTATAACTATAAATGGAGCAACTGGCTAGGTCTCATATGGACTATAATGCAACAGTATCATCTGCTAAATCAGATGGTTGTTTTTTTTTACTTGGCTCTGACCACAGGGAAAAACCACAGACGTATGTACTGTATGGTATCTCTTTTTCCAGGGAGACGATGGCATTATATGCCTTCTCTTTCTGAAGACTGGTTGTTCCTTCTAGGAAGTGGGTATCCTGTTTCTGACTGTTGAGTCCCATTCATTTCAGCAGGTCTGGTTTCATTAGGTGTAAGGATGTAGCAAATATTCACAATTTTCCAACCCTGGATGAAATAGTATATTGAGATTCCATTCGCATTTGCTGAAAAAACAGCCATGGCAATTGCTTTTATTTATTTTTTTTTTTTATGAGATGTAGTTATCAGATTTAAAAAAGGAGTCAGATTCTGAGATTTTCCCTTACTTGGTGTGACATTGTGAATGGTAGTGAGCACAGGAGAGTATCCTGTGTAGACCATATGGACTGCTGCCATTGGCGGCCTGTTCTATGTAAACCTTGCCATCCTTTTTCCTGCTGGCAATGGGGGCACAAAATTGTGCAGCAATTTCGGGCCATTTCCTGGCATTTTGAATAGCGGCTACAGAACCACAATATCCTACATTCATAAACTGGAGGTTTTTTGGAGAATGGAATCATTTGTTTGCACGTTCAGCTGTCCACCATAAGATTATTTTTGAAGACAATGCTAATGTACATTGACTTTGGTTCCAGATGTGGTTGGATAGCTGGCTGATTATTTTGCAATAACTTTAGTTAAACTGCTGCAACAGAGACAAAATTTCACATATTGTCATTCTGATCATTTTTTTTACTTGCATTGATGGCTCTGATGCTAACATTATTTGTGGAACTGGAATTGTCCTTAGATGCCACTGTGTTGCCGTGGTTGTCTGCACCAGGACAGCCAGAATATGGGCAAGTTGTGTAAACGGAGTGTGAGCAATCTTGTCTAATTTAGTTTTTGAATGCTGATGGAAATGCTTTCATGGTTGCAGGTCCCAAACTTGGGTTGACTTTCAAAGGTGATCCAAGGACTTGAGAAAAGGGAACTTCTTTTCTTTGTAGGCGTGTCACACAATAGGAGAGTTGCATCTGTAGCTTGTATGGCAGAGGTGGTCAAAATGCAGCTGTCCAGGACTGCCGCTTCCAATATACTTTGTCACAGGATGTGCTAGTTAGTGTTGATGGGAACTGCAGGCCAAAAAAATATCTGGAAGGCCACGTTTCGCCCACTCAAATGGACCAGGAAGGGCAAAAGGAGTAATGGGAACAAAATCTAAGTGTGCGGATGGATCGTCTCCTCCCTTTCTTTAACACAGCCACTGCTAAGCTTCCACAATCCCTGTCCAACAACATTCTTTTAGTGCCAATGAAGTTGGCAGTTCTTTCCCTGCTTGGGTTTTTAATCTGAACAGGAGAAGAGTTCCAGAGCTTGTAAAACACACCTTCTACTTTGAAGTCAGCTTTTTGAGGCTGTGAACTTCTCTTCCATGCCTGTCTCTGGAGAACTGTTTAAGCATCTTTAATGTCATCGCACTTCAAAGTTCTGTCCTGTTGCCTAGTCACTTCATTTGCAAAACCTTCCTTCATTTGCTTGGTATTTTACTATTCAGTTGGCAACAAAGAAATGCCAGATGGAGAAGACTGACGTAGAATTCTACAGAATAAGATATCTTTTTTGTTCTTGGCAATATGATAGAACATGGCATAGCATTATAGAAACTTAATACTGTTCACAGAGTTTTCCATAACTGCCATTCTGTCATCTCCACAACTGGTAATATGCAATACTTAGAGTAAGCCATAAAACAGTATGATATAATACAATGTATCACAATATAATATAATATACTTGGTGAAAACCTGTTGCTTAGCATAATCAGTAACACTCGACTAGGCCCATTGGGATTTGATGTGTCAAGTCCTTCATAAGTTCCTTTGATTCTAGTGGACCTACTCTAGCTGTGATTGATTTTAGCATAGTAAATTTCAGTTAGAGTAAACCCCATTTGAATCAGTGTTAAGTTACAGAGTACCTGACTCACCAAATCTGCAATGACTTGATGGGCCTTTTCTGGTATAAGTTACTAGGCTAAGTGACAGGAGTTCAGCTAATAGGGTAGACTATATAAAATAATTGCCTTTGTAAAAAATGAAAAAGTTAGGCTTTACTCTATACGGTAATTTGTTTAAAGAAGCTCCACCACATTTCATAGACACACAGTCAGATGTTCCAGCAGTTAGATTTAAGTCAGGAGTGAGTGTTAAACACGTAGTTGCTAAGCAGAACCCTCCTCAGGAAGAGGAGGTTAATTCACTATGTCCATTGGCAGAGACATAAAATGAGAGCAACACAAGCAAGAGGACTGAGGAGAGAACTGTATATTTCACTATCCAGCCCATGTTTCCAGATGTCATTGTCTCTAAGAGCTGAACTATACATTACAGATGTTCATTTAAGGAGGGAATTCCTTAACTTTTGAAAATATCTGACCTTTTCACAACTCCTCTAGTTTGCAAATTTTCTTCCTTTGTTTTGTAATGAGTGTTCTGGATGTAGACAAGTGCTTTATTTGCCAGTATGAGTGTTCAGTCATTACGGTCTGCCAGAATTACAACTTTGAAGTATGAATGAATGTTGACTTATTCCCTGGCAATTTTCCACTTACAATGGCATATTTTCTGTTGCACACAGGATTTCAGCCACTGTTTGGTCTTTAGTGTTATCCATCTAAGTAGCCTTCTACTACAGATTGCATGGACCACCAACAATAGTAAGAACATTTGATGGAGGTGAAGAGGTCATGTCTCTTCCTCTAATGGTGTCCTTTTGCTACCAACTCCTTTCACAGAATAGAATCAACATTATGTAATATCATTAACAGCACAAATTATAATGGATCTGTCACTGTGAAAAGCAGTGTCATTCGGCTTTATGGCTGACTTTATTAATATAAGGAAGAATGCAGCATTCTTACTTGATTGGCTTTATGGCTGACTTTATTAATATAAACAATTTTAAGAGCCATTTTGGTTGTAAAGTGGTATGCAATTCTTGTTAAATAAATAAGGAAGAATGCAGCATTCTTACTTGAGGAATAGGTTTTGAAGTGCCATTGAAGGCCAGTTTGAATTAGTTGATAATTTAATCACTGCTCCTAGAGTCATTTGGATTTTATAAGCTAGACACTAAAATCTCTTGGCCAGTGGTTTACAGATATGTTCCTCAATGATGAACTAATTTTTTTAGGCTGGAGTAAGCCCACATTCTTCTCCAGAGACTAACAAGTAGATATTCTCTTTGATATCCTACTGAATTTGGGAAGGCTCTGAAACCCATCAAACTATATTTTGCTGCTGTCCCAAAGATCTGTAGAGCTTGGTGTGGTATCACAGACAAAACTCATCTCTCTTTCATCTTGGGGAAACCAGGGTTGGTGGTCAGAGCATATGTCAGCTTGCTGTCCATTCCACTCCAGATGTATATGCTTCCCTCAATCTTGCTGAAAGTAGTCTACAGTAAGCAATTTACTGTATAGGAGTTGCAGTTCAACACTATCTGCTGGTTACAAGTGGCCCACCTCTGATGTAGCTCCTTACACATAGTTTATATTTGGTTCTGCTGCATGAGTTACTGTATGGAACTGTTTGAATTTTTCAGTTGAATGTCTGGGGAGTGCAGTGTGATAGACTGCTGGAAGCAAAGGGTTCAGTGGTACAACAGCCTCAAATATAATGTCTTAAATATAACCCTTTCAGTGCATAACTAACTGTTCATATCTTTTTCTTAGCTTTCTTCAACACATTTATCTTCCACCCCTGGCCTAGTCATTCTGTAGGATATTTTTCAAACAGCATTTACAAGTGGTTTCAGTAGAAGAGGGGGCAGGAATTCAATAAACAAGGGTGTTCCAACACTTCAAACCTAGATTACATTTTTGCACACATTCTACCTGCTATGTGCCATTTGTTCAAAGTTGATTTGTTGTTTAAATTCTTAGAAATGAAACAATTTTTAAAAGTGTGCTGACATTTGGGTAAACATTCCAGGCCTCCTTGGTGTTGCTATGGTGATGGTTTAGTAAGGCTCTCTTGAAAGGATATGGATGCTAAAACTTATTGTGAACTTTCCGTTAGATGGGTAGGAAGGGCTAAATATATTCTGTCACTTCATTTTAAAAAGACTGGAAAAGCAGGGGCATGTTGAGCCGTCTATAGAAAACAAGGGGCGTTT